AATATGCATTGGAAAAATACATGGACGGTTTTTATCTTTAGTTTTCACTATCGGTTTATATGCATTTGTGTAGTTTCTACCGAGCAATATCGCTGACGGTGATATCATTTATTTATAGACCTTATACACTTAAGTAAGATAGAAGAGCTGAGTTCCATTTGCATTTGTAGAATGAGATTTATATTATCAAAACAATTATGGGTATTATTAAATTATCAAGTAAATAAATATCCCGGGAATTAAGTTTAATATTATCGAAATAATTATATTATTAAATTACCTATTTAATTTAAGTATAGTGATTAAATCTTTCCCATATACTAAAACGCGCATCACAAGAAAAAAATGAATAAATTTCCATGGTTTTTTTAATCCGAAGAATGCATATATTCTAAATTATCTTTTGGCCTCCGGAATAGATGGAAACGGTTTAAGTAATGCGTAAATTTACAGCTTCGCTGAGCAGCTGACTGCCTCCTGATATAAAAGCAGGGGAGATTCTTAGCAGTAACTATTTTCATTTCGCCCTCTTTTTTTTTCTTTATTTTTCCCTTCGTCTTTTGTATTTTTGGGAGTTTTATGTTAATGCTTTATGGCCCCAGCCACGCCTCGCTTAAAGTTAAAGTTCGTTTCGGGGGTAAAGCCCCCGAACTTTTATGCGTCTGCGGTGGGGTTTTCAGATTGACGGTGGGCGGCAAAAGGGGTGGAACTTTTGGGGGGCGGCGCCACATCACCAGCTGCTGTTGGCCCACAGTTGCTAACTGTGCTAACTGTTGGCTGATATCTGGCACTGCGATTTATTAACAGTTAGCCAAAAGCCTGGGTTCTTTGTGTACCTACTGCTGCTACAATAATTGTAGTTCTTCTTCTTCTTCCCTGGGCCCTGCCATTATGGTTGTTGTTGCATTTGGGAGCTAGACCAAAATTTATTGCCTGCAGCCACATGATGAATGATTCTGATAATAATATTTTGTTATTGCTTTTTTGCCTTGGGTGATGTTTTTTTTTTATTTTTTTGCTTTTTCTCTTTTACTCCTCCATTTTTGCCGTTGCAGCAAGTTTTAGCTGCGTTTTGTTGCCAAAAATTGAAGTCACCATGGAGCCAGGGCCAAAAAGACCTTGCCACAAAAAGCTGTTAACTTTGGGGCATGTGGCGGTGGTCCGTGGAAGTTGCCCCCTGCTGTTGCGACGGCCGCTAAAATAAAACATTCGGCCAACTGACGAAAACATAAACCAAAAGTAATAAACTAAAGGTTGTCATAAGAAAACTTAGACGGCGAATGGTCTTAAAGGAAAGCTCATTTGTCTTGAAGAAGTTTTTTTTAGCTTTGGCAGAGCTGGAGCTCAACTCTATGTACATACTTTTTTTCAAAACTGAATACACACCGAGGGTCAAATGTCAGCTATAAGATAAAATAAAGTTAGAAATATTTATTTTTTTAAATCAATATTCTGGCTTTTATCAAAATAAATCATTTAATGATAAATCATAAATTTAGAGTAAACTATTTAAACTTTTAAATAATTTTAATTTTCTTTTTAAAGTTTTGCAACAAATTATGGTATTATTTAAAAGTTTTAACTACAATTTAAAATTACGTTGAAAACTTAACATTCCAACGACCTTGCCAAGACCATTTTATAAAATGATTTCCGCAGATTCAGAAGAGACATTTGTGCATGGGAAATGAAGACCATTGTGGTGCTGGTCGGAAAACTAATCCCAAAAGCGAGGAAGGGAGTGTGATGATAGTAGACAAAAGACAGCATCAATGTCGACACGTTAAAGCTTCGCTCAGAGCAAGTGAGTGAATTTTTTGACAAATTTATGATGATGGAATTTTAAGTGATTTTTAACGAGTGTTTTGCAGCAGACACGGTTGATTTTCGTGAACGGGATGAGGCACCGAATATTCAGTTGCAGAGCAAGTTTCATCAACATCAGTGATACTTATTGTGGCTGTATAGTTTGCTAATAAATATTGCATTACAATTAATGTAATCAAGGCGAAAATTTTAAGCATTCAAATTTGTTTTGTTCCTTTAAACGAGAAACAGTTTAATGGCCGGAAAATCATCGGAAAATGTTAATAAATTGTATTCCGAAATTGGAAATATCTTCTTCTTTGACTGCCACTCCCATTTGTTGCCAACTGCAGGCGTCCGCTAGATGCGAAAATTGTTGATGCCAGCACCTGGGCATTCGACTGTAAAATTTATTGATTGCACAAATAGGCCCTGGCATCGCCAGTGACGCAGACATTGGATATAGACATGGAGGACCAGAGGCCATTTTGTCGGCAGACCGATCACAAACAGCCCACACAAGTCGGTGATTCTATAACGGATTTAGCACATTTAGGCGAGGTGTTTATATTTACTTTGCCCCGTGCGAAGCATTACATTTTTAGAACGTCATAAAGATTTAGAATTAGACTTAAAATCGATTCCCTAAAAACAAATATAACAAAATCGTTTAAGTCGATTTTAAAATCGATTTGTTAACATCTCTTGTTAACTTTAAAGTTAATCTTTCAATGCCCGACTTTATTTTGGAATTTGTAGAATATTTCTTTAATCCAAAAACCGCCATATATTATTAAAATTGTTCCATTTCTAGATTATAGGGAACTGAAATTAAAAATGGCCAATCTTAACACCCTGATATGTAATCAAACTAATAATATTCTTATGATTGAAACCGCAGGATCTCTACTTGAATTTCTAATAGCTCGTCTCTTGTGTGGGTTCCTTGGTAGGCGTATTCGTATTCGTGTATGTGATTGACAAGCATTCTCGTTGAATTATTAATTATGTAATGCGAAACCAATCGACTGCAATTTGCATATGAAATGAGCCTCACACGCTCACAAAGACTAATTAAGGCCTGGCGCTGTGGTTTTCAACTCAAGCTCGTCCTATCCTATCATATATATACGATATACGTATGGAGGCATCAATGAAAATTGCACAAATTTGCATAATATATACACTTTGATATTTAAAATGCAACGCAACAATCTTTTCAGTTTGTTGCCAAGTACACGTTGGCCATTAGAAGTACGTATTTTTCCCTGCTGCCCCCCAGGAGCACGGATGGTCTGTGTTAATTGCACTCGGACAAATTGGTCACTTAGGGAAATTGGTATATGAAAATGGGAAAATTAGTTTGTTTTCTTCGCCAGGAAGAAATAACAGGTCGTGGAAATAAAGCAGTAGCTCAGCACGCATATTGAATCTAAAAGCTATTGATTTGTCATTTTAAGTGAAATGTAGAAGATAAATGGACAATCAAATTACATGATAGTTAGGTAAGTAAGAAAATTACGTCTCTTTTTTTAAATGAACTATTCTATTTTAAGACTTGATCCTGCGACTTTTTCTAGTAAAAATTTCAGAATTTATGAAATATGTGAAAGGCAGAATTTACTTAATTTCTTTGGCGATATAATTTACCAAACTGAGTGTGTCAAAAATATTTTTTGTCATATGAATTGGTAGTATAAGTCTCTTTGTTTTATCATGCAAAAACTTGCACACGTATTCGTCCACAAAAAAAACCCCAAACTCCCACACGCACTCTGCAAGGAACCATGGAAACCAGCTGGGATCCACAGGAGAGGAAAGAAGGCAGCTGAACAGAAAAAATAAAGATTGAAGCCCTGCAAATGTTTACATAATATGGACCGCAGCACCATCCGCAGACGAGTCGAGACTCTCCAGATCCCAGACGGTAGGTGTGATGTTTGAACTACACTCGACTGGGCCGCCTGCGTTGCCTTTTGCCTTACTCTCTTACTCGTTCCTCCACTTTCCTCCCAACTTTACTTTGCCTTTCTGTTTTACGGCCACTGTTTTTGCTTCGGCTGGCAGAGCCAGGCAATCCAGCCCATCTGCATCCTTGTAGCCCCATTCCCAGCCCCATTCCCCATCCTTGGATCCTTCCAGCTGCAGCTCGTCGGCGGTAGCGCTGGTGTTATTAACATTTCTGTTGACATCCTTGGGGTCGCGTTTTGAGCCCCGAACACGGCGAGATATGAAAAGGTGTACTCGACATGCGAATATTTGGTAATAAACTGTTTTTCGTCTTCAAAAATCCAAGTTTTTCTAGTTCCAAAGTGAAAAAAGTCTTTAAAAAATATCGAAATGTGTAGTTCTGAATTTAATTAGTATTAAATTCCTTAAATAAAGACAATTTAAAAAAAATCGTTTTTAAAACAGGCATTTTTTATAACCAAGATTTAGCTTAACTCAAATATAAACTAAATCACTTGTTAGACCTAAAATTTCAATTAAATTCTTGCACACAAAATCGCAGCTTCCGAATAAACTTATGAGGCAATTGTAGTAATACAATTTATTTTAAATATTAAAATGTTTTTTTATGTTTTTTTTGGCTGGCTCAAGGTTTGTTTTTTATAATAATTATCCAAACCAATTTGAATTTGTCCTACAGTTTACAAATAAAATAAATCGATTTATGTACATATATCTTTGTGCTTTCGTTACCGTCTATTAGTATAAAAACTGTAATCTGCAAAGTTTCATATCTCATTTGATACTGAGTAACATTACAGTCGAGAAAATAGGGTTTCTCTTTCTTTTCCCCCTTTTTTGGATTTCTTTTTTTTACTCTTTTTATGTACTTAGCCGCCTTCTCAACTCAATCTTTCCATACGTGAAACATTTTCATTTTACTTTTGTGTGCAAGTATATACACTTTTTTTTTGCATTTCTGAAAGCGACTCAAAGACCCAAAAAGAACGAAGAAAAAAAAAGAAACACATGGAGAAAATTATTTATGTGTATATGAATACGTATTGTTGACATATTGAGAGATTGCGGCAATTTAGACCAGACGACACCATTTAAAAAGCCATTAGGGCTTGCTCCGTCAGCTCATAATTACGAGCACAATGGAATCCCCCATTAGTAGTTGTTCGTAGTTCGTAGCCAAGTCAGTAATCCAGTGGCCAAGTCAGCCGTTTTTCATCTTTCGAATGTCTTTCCACAAGCTTAGCCTACTCGTTTTCAGTTCGCTGATCAACTGCTTTTTGGGTGCCCATGTGGTGTACGTGGATCGCTTCACCTTCAACGTCGATGATCACGACCTGTTCCTATCCCAAAGTGCTGTTCTCGAACAGGAGTCAAATCGCAGTTATCTCTCGGGGCATATGATGATTAATCGGCTGATCAATGATCTAATACTTGTTTCCTCAATGGACGTTATGCGTCCTAAGCGACCGGAAATGCGACTCTATAGTGTGAAATTGAACTTCTGCTCGGTTTTGAATAATGGTTATAAAAATAAATTCATTAGAATGCTTTACAATAACTATGCGGAGTTTCTCAACACCAAACCAAAGTGCCCACTTAAGCCAGTAAGTTTAAATAGATTTAATTTGAAATTAACATAAAAACTAAATATTACTTGAAAAGAACAAAAATTGTAGTATACTTTTTGGAACGTTACAAACCACATTTTCTTTTCCTTTGTTATAGAATTTTAATTACTCCCTGACTAGAGCCTATGTCGACGAAGATATGCTACCAGATCTGTTGCCGGAGTGCACTTTTCGCCTGAAAATGTCTTTCCACCACAAATCTAAGCTATTGGCTCACATGCAGACTGATGGAAAATTGATCAAACGTTAACGCAATAATAATATCCAAATTTTCTGTTTTAAAAAACAAAAAAAAAAGATTTTAAATGAATAATCCAAAAGTAATTTTGGCATTATATGGAGCGTGGATTTTCTATTACGGATTTGGTTCGATGACTTTAGTAATTATGGACCAATTAAGCAAGAAACCAAAAACGAGATGTGTGAATTTTTATAACTGTACATAAAGGTGAAGAATGTGTTAAAAACAATGAGTCTTTTTCAATATTTTATTTTAAAAGTCAAGGCTTTAATTTCTTCGCTTGAGCGAACACATTAAGGTACAAATATTTATACACCAGTAATAATTACTTTAACACAAATATGCCTAATAATAATTAAAATAATATCAAACCCAGCCATCTTAAATTAAATATATTTGTAAATTGGCCGCCCAAAATCGTATTGATTCTGCTGAAAATCGAGTAGCATTATAGTATAAGCATTGGTCATGAAAACGTCGTATTTGATATGTGGTCTATACGTCCTGATGGACTTGGCTAGTAGTGATAAGCGCACCTTTCGCGTTTTCTTTGATGAATTCGCTATCAAGTATAAGGTGCCAGACATTTTTGAAAAGATGGATTGTCATTTGGCTCAAGTGAATAATCGGAGCTACGTCAACGCAGAGATGATTCTCAAAAGGGATGTTGGCGATTTGAATGTTCGGGCTGTGATGGAGTTTTGGAAACCGAACGCTCAAACGAAAATGAAATTATACGATGTTCGAGTAGATGGATGTCTCCTCCTCCGAAGTATTCACCAAAATAAACTGTTTAACTTCTATGTGAAGAGCTTCAAAAAGCATGCTAATGTTATTTTGACGTGTCCATTTAAAGCGGTATGTTAAATGAAGTTGAAACTGAAACTTTCTTAAATTCCGTACTTTTTCTAGAATTACACCTACAAGATGGTGGATTGGTTTTTGGATGAAAATGATCTACCACCTTTTGTGCCAGTCGGTAAATTCCGTACGGTCACAGAATATTTCACCCAACAGCGTTTGGCAATTCGTATTGTAGCACATGGCGAAGTTTTGGCAAAACCCTAAGCTTTTCAATTATTCTAATATGAAATAAAGCCATCAATAAATAAAAAATATTCAGCAAAAAATAACTGTATTGTGATGTGAATATTTTTTAATAATTAGCATAACCCGTATTGCAAAATGGAATGGATTATAGTATATAAGTATAGGTATATTTTGCGAATGTCGTTTCATATGAAAAAAATAATAAGCTCTATTTAAACAATTTAAATTTTTTTGTTGCTAAAACTATTTATTCAATCATCCAAAAACGAGTTCTTAATTGGCCGAATGTTCAAACGTGTGTGGAATAATTTCGAATCCCCTAGGCATCAAATCAGCACTCTTAATCGAAATCGAGAAACATTAAAATGAAAGCGTTGGCCACGTATGCTTTGTTCTGGATTTTGTGGTCTAGCAACCACATTGGCTTGAAATGTGAGGAGCGTAAATTTCGAATAAACTTGGATGAGTTTTCGGTAAAATACAAGGTACGCGATTTGATCGAGAATATTGATTTCCGCATCGTTCATCTTAACAATCGGAGTTATGTTAACGGTGAGATGAAACTAAAGTCCGATGTCGAGGATATATTAATGCACACAACCATGGATTTTTGGAAGTCCAGTAATAAGAAGAAACTCAAACTCTACGATGGTCGCATGGATGCATGTCAATTTTTAAAAACTGCTCACCGGAATGGATTGTTTAATATTTACGTGAAGAGCTTCAGAAAGCATGTAAATGCTAATCTAGCGTGTCCTTTAAAAATGGTGAGCAAATACTAATTTATGTCGATATTACGTAACAATAATGTACCTTGAATTTTTCACAGAACTACAGTTATACTTTAAGAAACTGGCATATGGATGAGCAGGATCTTCCTCCTTTCGTTCCTTTTGGTACATTTCGCACCTTAACCGAGTATTTTACCCAAGACCGATTGGGATTGCGGATCGTCACGCAAGGCAAAGTGGTTCCCAATAAGTAAAAAAACACTTAAAAATGTATTTATTCTTGATTTATAAATACAAATCTAACTTTTGCATTTACATTTGAGCCTTTACATTTATTGCTTACTTTCAATATGTAAAAACCTTTTTCAATCTCAAACAACGCAAATAAATGATTTATTAAAGTAACATTTTCTTGAATTCAATTTTTTAACATTTTAGAAATTGCATAATTGCATTTATCAGTTTAAGAATTAAGATCGTAGAAATCTGATGTTTAAGAAATATTTTCACAAATAAATGAAAAATCCTAGATTATATTATTAATAAATATTTTGAGTGTAACTGGCATAAAAAGGCAATCACCTATAATAAAACAAAATAAACAAACAAATAAATTACTTGTTCATCAAATGGAAATAATAATAATTAAACAGAACTTTGTCATTTCAATATAAGCTTTTGACATGAGAACTTGGTTTTGGATCCGCTGGCTTCTGATTTTCAGATGTGCGAGCACAGCGCAGAGAAATTTTCATATAATCCTTGATAATGTCACCACTAGGATTTTTGACTCGGGAACAATCGAAAAGTTGGGTTGCCAGGTTCAACAAATAAATAATCGTAGTTATGTGAATTGTCAAATGCTGTTAAACCGCGAAATCGTTAAAATGGATGTTCGAACCGTCTTGGATTTTAAGAAACCAAACGGCCAAGCAATGAAGTTGTACGATGCTCGAGTGGATGCCTGTCTCCTAATGGGAAGTTATCATAAAAATCGATTTTTGAACATATATTCGAATAACTTTAAAAAGTCCAACATGCGATGCCCCCTCAAAGCGGTATGTATACATTTCTAAGCAAATAGAATGAGTTATAATATCTATATTTTCAGAACTTCAATTATACTCAGGAAGGAATGTATTTGGATGAGCAGGAATTTCCCACATTTGTGCCCTCTGGCACATTCCGATGCCTTTGTAACTTTTATCTTAACGAAACTTTTATCATATCTCGTGTTGTAACCCATGGAAAAGTCACACCCAGTCTTTGAATTTATAAATTCCGATATTTAATATATATTATTACTTCATACTTGTAATTACCAAGAACGATAATATTAATCAATAATATATTTCTTTATCCTATTTATTGTTTGTTTATCACGCCTCATTTCGTGTTCATCCAAATCAATTATACCTTTATAAAGCAATTTACAGTGTAATTCAAAACCAATTAGAAATGCATTACTTTGTGTTTATGTCAAAAGACAACGTTTTACATTTTTTATGTAGTCATAAACTATTTTCTCGCTAAAATGAAACCTCCAAGCATTTTACCTCTGCTTGTCCTGGTCTTATGCACAATTATTCTGAACCATGTTTGGGCAAGGGTAGGTATTGTTTAAAGCGAATTTAATAAAATTGTATTTAATATATTGACTTTTCAACAAGATGGACGCATATATGACGCATATTAGCTGCCCCACATTTTTCCCAGAAGTTGTGAAAAATGTTAGCTGCCATTTGGGTGGAAACTCCAAGCATTCTGGTTCTCCCTCATCATTCTCAGCGGAGTTCTCCCTGGCAGAAGATGTTACTGACGTCAAAGGCATTTACGTATTTAGTCTAAAACACGGCCCATCCATAATCAACTACACGGCCATGGAATTGGACTATTGTGAGGTCTTGGATTCTCTGCAATCACAATTTTTACTAAAGATGATTGCCGATGAGTTGCGGCGCGTTGCAAATTTTCCACTGCAATGTCCATTTAAAAAGGTAAGTAGGGATACTTTAAATAAAATAAATTCGTTTATAATTTACTTTTCTTTTTCTTAAGAATAAAAGGTATTACATTGATCATTTTACAATCAACTCAAAGCTAATACCCAGCTATGCGCCAGAATTGAACTGGATTTCGGACTGCAATATATTCGTTAAAAAACGCCGAGCCCTGCAATTAACTATCCATGGTCGTGTAGCTCGTAGCCGATTGGGTCGTTAGCAAAATTTGTATTTTTCAAAACAAATTTCACTGATATTAGTGGCATCCCCGTAAACGCTAATTAAATTAAATGTTTTTAATAAATTTTAATGGGCAATAAAGTAACAAAACAGAACCATAATATTTAAGTGCTTTTAAAAATTATTTTACATTTTTATAAATTCAGTGGCCATAAATCAGTCAGCAGTTCGCTTTTAGCTGCAGTCATAAATTTTTGGCTTTGGATCTGCTTCTTTCTTCTCATCATCTTTAAACGTATGAGAAGTGAAGATCGAAACTTTCGGGTTATTATTGAGCAAGTTAACATTACCAATCTTGACAGTGAAGTGTATGAGAAATTTGAATGCGAGGTCTACCAGGTAGACAATCGCACCTACATGACGTCGAGGCATATTTTCAAACGTCCTGTTGACCAAGTAAGTGTGCATGCTGCACTGGATTTTTGGAAGCTAAACGGCAAACAGAAAATGAAACTCTATGATGTTGAGTTCGATGGATGTTACATTCTGGAAAATGCCAACAAAAACCGTTTATTTAACATGTATGTCAAGAATTTGAAAAAACACTCAAATGTTAAATTTCAATGCCCCTTTCAAGCGGTAAGAATATTTAAAAAAAAAATAAATATATATATAAATGAATTTTTAATTAATATTACAGCACGTTAACTATGAAGTGAAAAACATGTCGATGAGTGAAGAGGACTTCCCCTCCTTTGTACCGCTAGGAAAATTTCGTTCCATAATTGAGTACATCATGAATCAGAAATTGAGGGCTCGAGTCACTGCAAGCGGAAAAATTATACCGTTTGCAACAGATCCGTTTAAAGTACTAACATAATGGATTTCAAATAAAACTATAAGCTTAGCTAACCTTGCTTAGCTATAGTTTATATACCATTGCAGTAAAATTGGGTTCCTTCTAATATTTGTTTTTCTGGTTTACATTTTTACTCCCTCTGATTGCAACATATGCTACTTTTATTTTATCATCTTGATAATGCAACAGATGTGTTATTTTGTACATACTTGTTATTATCTATTAGTTAGCTCACAAAACAGATAGCTTCTAATGATTATGAAGGTTGATAAGGAGCCAGGGGTTTTATCATGGATTAATATAACGAAATAACTGCCTCGAATATCAGATACCCTTTTCTTAGCTACACTTTTTTGCAAATTAAACTAGCTCAAATTAAAGAGACTTTAGCTGAAGAAAAGTTCAAACTGCCAGACACAATAAAAAATATGTAATCTAATGCACCATGTTCCTAGCCATTCTGCTGAATATTTTATAAGATGATTTGGAATGATTTATTGCCGAATTTCCACTTTTCGTGAAATATGTCATCCAAGGGGACATCAATTACTTTAGTTTAAACATCCTGCCGACAACAACAAGCGCCGCACAAGAATATGAACCCGGGAGCGAAGGCGAAAGAAGGTTAATGGATGGGGACTTTGTGTGCCAAAGGGAGGAAGGAGCTTCCGAGGTTTATACAAGCTTCAATGTATATTTTCCATATTTTTTCGTTGTTTTTTTTTTGTTACAGCGAAAAGAACTTGATTACACGTGCGCTAATTTAGTTGCACGCGAAAACATGCGAGTAATCAAAACGGTTGCTGAAGTGCCAGACCGCCAGACCCTTGACTCAACAGAGGGAGAGGGAGGGAGAGCAGAGCACCCACCGTGGAGCTCCTTTGGCTTTCACCCTGCACCCTGCACCCTGCACCCCACATGTACCTACATATCTTTCAGCTTTCCCCCGGCCAGGACATCCTTAACCCGTTGGCGTTGGAAATTCGAGTTCATGGCATGTTCATGCATGTTGCCGGTTGTTGGCCCTGTGCGCACACAAATTTAATTTATAAACACACACACACGTCTATATAAATTTAAATACAAACTTGCACATTTTTTTGATCCTTTTTCCTGGGCCCACACACACACTCACTCTCACTCAGTGGCAATATGCAATGATGGGTGGAGCAAAAAAAATATGCAATAAATTTTTAATTTAAATCAAGCCATCACGCTTTCCCCCAAACCAAACTCCCAAGTGCGAAAGGGATTTGGGGTCGGGAATTATGAGAAGGCAGGGGTTTACATACATTAACATATGAATGCAGCTTATATGTACGAACATCTATCTACCTGTCTCTTTCTGTAGGCTCCGTGCAACAACAGCCGAATGCTTTTTGGTGGGCTTCGAGTGAGCTTCGGTAGTTTTAATGCTAAAACTCATACATGAAATTGACGTGGGATCCATCCAGCCTGCAAGAAAAGAGGGGAAAATATTGTTTAAATATTTTTGATTGTCATAAATCGTGCGTATTTTGAAGCGAAGATTTAAAAAACGTTTTAAAAATCTCTAAGAATTGTTCACTTATCTTAGCTATTTTTCTATAAGCAAGCCAATTTTGAAACATGGCTTTCTAAGAGTCATAATATCTAAGTATACCCCAAAAACATATTTTGTATTGTATATACAGCGAGTAACACAGAAATATCTTTAAATCCGATCCGTTTGTAATCAATATACCTGATTACACATTTTCCTGGATTAAACTTAGGTTACAAACTTTATTGATCGCGAAACTTTCTAGATAAACATTTAAATTTGATCACAAAACGTCCAAGATAAACATTCAAATTTAAACTTGAACAGCATAATTAAAAAATTCCAAAATTTTTCATTTTACAGGACATTTTTGGGACATTCTACTCAGCATCTATATCAACTCGCATCGCCTTGCAGAGGTCCCTGAGCTGCTTGCTCGACTCCTCCATTTCGGTGCGCAGCTGGGAGAGACCGATCTGCATCCGGGCCATGCGCATGTCGCCGGCCTTCAGCCGCACCTCCTGGTTGGCCGTAAAGCCGGTGGCATCTCGACGACCTTGGCGCTGTGGTTGTAGGTGTCTTGGGTGTCCTTGAGTGGGTGTCCTGCGGGTGCGAGTGACCAGACGATTGGCGGCTGCAGTGACGTCGGCCTCGTCCTCCTGCTCGAGGCCATTGCTGGGGCTGCAGAGCGTCTTGGTTTTCGTTTCCGGCATTGTTCTTCTTTTTTTTTTGGGGGCGAGTCGTTTGTCGTCACAGGAATTTTGTTTGTTGTTTGCCAAAATTACATACAAAGACGACACAACAATGTGTGTGCTGCGTATCGAATTGTTTCAAATTGTTTGCTTTAGTTGCGACATCATGAGCATGGAATGCTGAGCTCGCACAGGATATCCTGGTGCGATGGTGCGGTATTTTGTGGTGCCCACCACCACGCAGAAAACTTTGTGCCGGGGCAAGGGCCACAACAACATGTGTGCTTTGGAGCATACCACTGAACTTTAATTACAATTAACCGCAAATGATGTAGCGCTGCTGGTGACGGCGGCGGCGGTGGCGTTAGGTTGCGGTCATACAGCGAAAAATGATGATAACAACAAGTTTTTCAACCGCTTTCGATGCGACTTCATTGTGCTCTTTTTACCCAGGCATTTTAAAAGTGCTTTTAAAATTATTTTGGACTTGCAAAAGACGGTACAATGCTTTAAAAAATATTTTTAAAATCATCAGCTTTTAACAAAATTAATTTTTACAAATTCATTTAAATTTATTAATTCTCCAAAAAATTTAGAAATATATTTTTAAATTTTAAAATTTACAGGCGAACTTAAATTTAGATATAGCTACGGGGCCTCAATCTATGTTTAGAAAACTATTTCATACACTTGCTTAAAACAATTATTAAAAACAAATTAAAATTAAATTCCACCTTTACATACAAATTTATTGTGTTTTTTTAACTCAGATATTTTAAAAATGTCTTAAAAATTATTTTCGTTTTTTTATAGACGGTGCAATGTTATACAAAATCTAATAAAATCACCAGATTCCTAATTGCAAGTTCTTTTAACAAAATGCATATCAACAATATCATTTAAATTTATATGTTAAAAAAAAAGATTTTTTGATAAGATATTAAAATGAGAAAACAGGTTTATTTTGGACTTTAAAACTAATTTCATTCATTTATCTCTCTTGAATCCTAGTAAAAATGAATTTTATAATGTTGTCCTCTTTTGGAAATCAATTTGAACTTTCCTAGTACAATAACTAATTCAAAATCAGTTACTTAAGTTATAAGTAATTATTAATTCTAGTCTTCCATAATTGATATCGAAGTCTCTGGGTCTCTTCTGTAGTCATGCCAATACAGGACACTCGGAAAAAAGTAAAATTAAACCTATTAATGTATCAGGAGTTCCTGCACACAGGCACTGACTCCTCTCACACACACAAGGAGGCAAGAAAACGGGAGAAACATGGACGAGAAACGAAGGACGAGAGGCGCAACTGACCACATGGGAGGACATGGCATGCGATGGTCAGGCAAACTCAACTCATGCTATTCGGATGAGGAAGGAAGGGGAGGGGCGGTCTTGCAATTAATTAAAAATACATGCACCGTGAACGAGTTCCAGACATCCTGGCTGTCCTGGTCGTCCTGCCTCCTGCAGCTGCATTAATTTGACCGCAAAATAAGCCAAGTATTCGGTACGAGGCAACAGCGAATATTTTCTTTACCAACGCTAAATGCATTACACTCGAGACCAGCAAGTTGATGTCCTGTTTTTATTTATTCCCACCCTTTTTTTCTTTTACTTCATTTTTCTTTTTCTTTATTTTTTACGATAACCAGTGGTCAGCATGTGGCAGGCAGGGAAAAGTCCTTGTCCTGCTGTTCGTGCTGCGTAAACTGCGTTCATTTGTAAACAACATAGTCATCGCTGGAAAAACAATAACAAGACCAGCCAGGAAAATAACAGCGAAAGTTAGAGAGTAAGTACGGCATGCTGAATAATTAAATACTCTTTTAAAAGCTCAGGCAAATTAAACTTGGTCGCTTGACAAAATATTTAAATCAATTTATTTCTTTCTATATCTTTAAGAGAAAATTTTAGCAAAATTTAATAGTGGCATACTAAGGTAGCTTGATATTTTATATTTTTCCCAATGAAATCAACGATATTATCGAAACAATATTGTGATAATATCGAAAATATCGATAATCTGCTAGCTCTAATGTTAAGCCCCGCATTCCACAGATACAATCAGCAATCACAAATCAGTGCCCTCTAATCGGAATTTTCTTCTGTCTCAGAAATTACATTTCCTGAATTCGTACATATGGCAAAAGACAAAAGCCATGGCAAATTGCGTGGCTTTTTGCTTATACATATGTCAGAACGCAGAGTATGGGAAAATAAGCGAGGCCAGAACATCAAATAAAGTTAAGCAAACAAGAGCATTAAGTGCATTGATGTTGTTATTGCTGTTGTCTAAGGACCCCCGGCGCAAGCTTCCTTTTTTTACTCCACCATCGTGGTCCTTCCTTCGACGCTTTCCCCGATTCAAGGGACAACTTCATTAGGCAAGTGCTCGACCGGCTCCATGCAGCCTGGTGCCTGTCCTTCTATCTCCTTTATCGTTTTCTATTGATTTTCTTAGCAATATTTCCATTACGTCTATTTTACTCTCCTTTATCCTACTTTTTTACGCGGTATTCCCACGGGTATATTGTACTCATGACAATTTACTTAACAGGATGAATTATTGCCAGTCAAAAATATTTTATTATTATTTTTAAAAGAAACTCAATAATGTATTCACCCTGAACTCGTTATATTTGTAAATTTTAAATAAAAGTATCTGTACTTAAAACAACTTTTTCTATAATTACCCATTAAATTTAGGCTGTAGACCAGAATAAGAAAAATAATTTTCAAAAATGTTTACATCATTTTTTATTAGCTCGGAATTTATTCAATTTAGGTTGACTATTTTTTTTTGGCTGTACAAGCTTTAATTTGTTTTCTATCATATCTGCAGCAATAAAAAAAGTATATAAAAAAGTAAAAGTTAGTTGAGTCAAAATCTGCCAAGTGGGCCACCCCTGTTCCGAAGGTCCGATTTTCATCGAACTTTTTTACTTTTCCGGTTCACAACGAAAATATAAGAACTTCATTTGAACGGTTTTGCGAAATTTTGAGTTTTACCGGAGTTATAGTGGTCAAAACATGGCATTTTTGTCACTTTTTCGAAAAAGTTGCACTCAGTCATTAATTCATAACTTCGGAACGGTTAGAGATATCTTTATGATGTTTTCACTAATCGCTCAAGAATTATTATGGCTTTCCATAAAAAAATGTAAAAAAAAATTAAAAATTTTTGTTCTTAAAAATAAATCAACATTTTTTTTTAGTTTTTATTTTTTCAGTGTTCTTCACCAGCTATAGAGTTTAAAACCATTTGAAAATAAAGTTTGATTCATTACGAAAAAGATCCAAAAAAAAAAAAGTGGCCCGGCCAAAGGTTTTTGGCAATATCGATTTGAAGAAGAGCGCACAGCGGTTTCCCATACAAAAACGGCTTGCTCGTGAAAACTGGCTGGTCAACACATGCCGTAGCGAGCGTAGCGTCAGCTGTCAATGGGGGACTTTTTGCCGTTTTGTATGGGAAACCGCTGTGCGCCCTTCTTCAAGTCGATATTGCGAAAAACCTTTGGCCGGGCCACTTTTTTTTTTTTTGGATCTTTTCGTAATGAATCAAACTTTATTTTCAAATGGTTTTAAACTCTATAGCTGGTGAAGAACACTGAAAAAATAAAAACTAAAAAAAAATGTTGATTTATTTTTAAGAACAAAAATTTTTAATTTTTTTTTACATTTTTTTATGGAAAGCCATAATAATTCTTGAGCGATTAGTGAAAACATCATAAAGATATCTCTAACCGTTCCGAAGTTATGAATTAATGACTGAGTGCAACTTTTTCGAAAAAGTGACAAAAATGCCATGTTTTGACCACTATAACTCCGGTAAAACTCAAAATTTCGCAAAACCGTTCAAATGAAGTTCTTATATTTTCGTTGTGAACCGGAAAAGTAAAAAAGTTCGATGAAAATCGGACCTTCGGAACAGGGGTGGCCCACTTGGCAGATTTTGACTCAGTTTATAAACTATTTTATTTAGGTTAAAAATTTTTTCACAAATGTATTTCAGTAGGCAAAAATTAACCAAGTGCTGGGTATTTTACGGTCGGGTTACTCGGCAATATAACGTTCTTACCGCCTTTTTTCTTCTATTTTGTATTTGCTCGTGATGTTTTTGCTTGCAGACACCGTGAAGAGTGTCAAATGCCATTAAATGCCAACTAACCAGCAGCGGGCCATGTCTAAGCGCCAAGTGGCCAGGTGAGAAAATAGCCAGCTACTGATTGCCACAAGGATGGGGAATTCGAAGGGGTCCTGGCTGGGGATTGGGGACTCACCCGGAAATTTCACTTACCACTTGCCATAGACAAGAGTGGCAAGCGCTTTGACAACGCTTTGAAGACTCTGGCAGGTGTAAGTGAGTGTGACATCAACTTATATTTTGTTTGTATAACAAAATGGACCCCATCCTACAACATCGCAGTATTCAGTAAAGATATCAGCAGGAATCGGTTTATAAAGTTACTAGGTTTGATTTTATTATCAGACAGCTTTTGTTTTCACTTTCAAAATATTTCAAAATCTTAACATTTTTTATTTAAATTTCTTGTTTAATAACACTATGCAGCATCAAATTAACCTCGATGAATGCTATATTTTTGGATTCGTTACGAATTCCCAAGTTAAACTGCGTTTTCCAAAGAGTTCCCCGACGCAAGGATTCTTAGAAAAAGGACCTCAAAGTTCGAAAAATGCTGAAATTGGCCAACTTTGCGGAGCTCTCAGAGGCAAATGGATGCATGGCCTGGTTCGAAGTTAAAGTTTTTTAAAAGATACACCCTTTATCTTTCAAACCCCATACATAAAATAATTTTAGGATTTTTTTTAAGGCAGAAATAAATTCCAAAAAACATAGTCAAAAAACTGAAAAACATACAGCTGCGGTCAAAATAGTAGCAGTGTTGCCGCCTTGTGTTTTTAAAAGTTTGATGTTGTAATTTTTCTTATCCAATTAGTCTAATAGTAAAATTATAATCAATACAATATTACCAGGAAAAGATCTATTACAACAACAAACTTTTAAATACACAGGGCGGTAACACTACTACCATTTTGACCGCAGCTGTATACTTTTATGTTTTTTGACTATGTTTTCTAGAATTTGTTTCTGCCTTAAAAAAAATCTTAAAAATTTTTTAAGTAAGGGGTTTAAAAGATAAAGGGCGTATCTTTTAAAAAACTTTAACATCGAATCAATCCATGCATCCATTTGCCTCTGAGAGCTCCGCAAAGTTGGCCAATTTCAGCATTTTTCGAACTTTGAGGTCCTTTTGCTAAGAATCCTTGCGTCGGGGAACTTTTTGGAAAACGCAGTTTAACTTGGGAATTCGTAACGAATCCAAAAATATAGCATCCATCGAGGTAAATTTAAAAAGCACTAAAAATGCTGCACAGTGTAATTTTGTAATTTTTAAAGTTTTAAAAACATTTAATTGTAGTAGCTGAAACTTAGAATTAAAGCTATGTATTTCCAGACTGAACTTACATTTAAAACCTATCTGCTATCCAAAAAAAAACTTGAGAAATTATGAGCTTTATGATTATATGGTACGATGAAAATCTGATTCTTGCCAGGCGCTAATTGAATGCATGCTGCGCCACTCGCTAGTCCTTTTTGCTCCTGCAGCATCCGAAATTGCTGGCTTTGGCCAAGATGATAAACGAGCCGACCCAGAGTAATAGGAAGCAAACAAGCATTAAGGCAAAAATATCTCTAAACAAATATTATTTACGAGCTGGCCCAGACTGGAACTTTTGGCAACGGTTAGACGCCTACTATATTCGCCCAGTTGCACCATTTGGGCTATATAGATTTATATATTTTTATCGTGCGGCACCGAGAATAATCACACTCATAGAAATTTTTACCCTAAATCGCCCTAAAAAACTGACTTTTCGCCCGTGGATTTAGAAAATCGCCCATAAATCGTATCCGCTGGCGATTCGCCCGTGTATTTAGAAAAATTTTCTAAAAAATCCCGATGGAAATTTGGTTTAATTTAGGGTGATTTTTCTTGAAATAAGAAATATTTTCCTTTTTTTAGGGTGATTTGCCCTAATTTTAAGGTGTATTTTTCTAAAATTAAGGGCGAATTTTCTGTTTTTAAAGGCAAATGCCCTAAAAAATTAGACAAATTAAAAAAATTCGAGTTTGAGCATGCTTAACTGAATTTGGGAAGCATGTATTTTTTAATCGTGTATATTCTGGGAACTGGGACTGCTTTAATTACACAAAACCGGCGGAGGACACCGTTTCATATTGTTGTATTGGTGTGTAGCTTATATGGGAGCTGCGCTAAGAGGGGGGCCCGATCTATACAGAACAGCCGTTAGAACTGAAAAATCATGTTTGTAAACGAATTAGGGAAATAAATATGAGGAGAAAAAACAACTTACTTTTTTTGGTCATTGCGAGAATCGAACCCACGACCTCTCGGTTTAGAGTCTAACGTCCTAACGCTGCACCACAGACCCATCGCGCAAGACGACGAACAAACTCTGCACATATCTTATTTTCTTGAGGTCTACGTTATAATATGACTAAAGGCAACTAAACCGTATAAAGTATGCTTTTAACTCAGAACTCCCATACGTTTTTAAGGTTTAAAGACTACTTTAATTTAAAATTCGGACGAAAAAATGTCCTCAGTATTATAATGTTTACAAAAAAAAAAAAAATAAAAATCAAGTTGAATCACACAGGGTTCGAACCCACAACCTTAGTCCTCATATAGCAAAGTTGAAAGCGCAAGTGATTAGACCGCTGGGCTACCGAATTTCACACTTTTGGAGTGATTTTTAAGGCAAATCGCCCTTGTATTTAGAGAAATTTTAGAAAAAAAATTAGGGCAATTCGCCGTTGGATTTAGAAAAGGTCAAAACGAAGCAAATCGAAAAAAACCGCCCTAAATATAAGAAAAATAGAAAAATTAACCCTAAAAATATTTTTTTATGGTCACCTGCCTTAAATTTATGGCAAATTTGTCGTGAAAATAGAAAATTTTTCTCAGTTCAAAGGCGAAAAATTTTTTAGGGCGATTTTCTAAAATGTAGAAAAATATTTTTATGAGTGCAGCAACACCTCATAAATCCCAGAAAGAGGCCGACACAATTTTAGACAGCGTAATCAGGAAGGTTGCCAAAAAACGAAAAAGATGGGAACAAGAAAGGGTGTGATAAATTCAATTTAAATTAACGATAATTTTAAATGAGAACAGTAATTATTTAAGTGGGATTTAGCATACGCTTAATGTTGGAATATGAACATAAAAACACCATAAATGCTAAGCCATTGATTGATTTTTAGAATATTCCTCAAAGATCTGTAACTGATGGTGCTACATCGATAAGACTTTAATTTTGATTTTTATAAATAAAAGTTCCCGGTAACATTTGAAATAAACTGAAAAATAATTCTTATCTCTGACTTTTTTGAAAAATTTTCCATATTTATACCCAATTTATTTATGATGTTATTTAAATGCACTGAGATTAAAGTGAACGATTTAAAGTCGGCTGGATTTTCATGAAATGCATTTGCAAAATGGGCTTTGTGTAAATCCAATATACGAAAGCAGCAGCACGATCGATTTGTGAGCCCCTCGGTGCAGCCTCAAAGTAGGCAACACAAATAAAGCTTAACATACAGCCCGGGAGGTGGACTGGAGGATAAAGGATGGCGGCCACTCAATCCCAGTTGTTCTGCTTCAACACTTTCGCACAAACACCAATCAACTGGCAGATGAATCAAGCGCAGGCGTTGGCCGCCCAGTTAAGCCCACTCTATGCACCCACACCCTATATATGTAAACCCCTTACCATACCAACTCCCCCTTCTTTTTTGGACAGGCGACAAAACTGCGCCACAAAAGGGCAAAAGCTGTGGCAGAGGCAGGGAATGCAGTCCATGGCAACAGAGCATCCAGAGCATCAACAGCATCCAAAGGCAAACACACTGGCCGGCACATGCGAGTGGAAAATCAATAAAGTGTACGTTTATCTTATTTTCTCGTCGCAGGGACAACTCTGCCGGTCGTTTTATTCCTTTCCTTTCAAATATATAAATATAAATCTTCGGCGCACTTAAGCCTTTTAAATGATAACAATGGTTGGAGCCAAAGATGCATGCCACCTCCCCCCGAAAAAATGAAAGAACACGACCACTGAGTAGCAGGTGCGCACTGGCCACCAGAGGACTTAATGCGGGGACAGCATCGAGGGAAGTTCCCACCCACTCTCCAGATTTTCACCAACCCAACAAATGTGCGTACTGTCCACATGCCATACAACGTAATACGTATATCCCCCCAGACCAATGCTTCAGCAGCCAACTCGAGAGATTCCATGAATTTATTATGTCCCTGCCTTTAATAGAGTTTCATCGAAAAGTTTCCCTCGAACAAATTATGAAATATACGGAGACAGCTTTTTGCCATTGAACGGAAATTGTGGTTTAAGTCTGGTGGAATGAATTTGGTTCTAAAGCGAATACGAAAAAAATATCCGTCAGATAATAAAATTACAGTTTATGGGTGGCCAAAACCAAGAGATTTTATTTTCATAAATTTATAGTGCTTATAGATTAGGGAAAATAATGAATGTGAAGTTTCGTATTAAATAATTTGAATTAAATTGTAAGAATGGTTTTTCAATTTATACTTTTCAGTAGTCTTATGTCCGTTTTCTCGTTCGTTGGTTAGATTTAATGAACGGGTTAGAACTTAAAAATGAAATGGAATTCAGAGTTTAAAGCGTACTTTAAAACAGCTCTTAGCGGTTCAATAAATTTACTATAAACAACTTTTTTTAAAGATTTAAAATCATGTTTTTTAAATTAAGAAAGTTTTATTGAGTTATTTTTATTTTTTTTTGTAAAATCTTAACAAATATGCGACCGGACAAATGGAAAATTCAGATTGGGAACAACCCTCTAGCATGATTGTGTTCTTTAAAATGCACTTATGCAAAATAACATTAGTGCAGTAGACCGTCATAATTGTCATATTAGACAGGAAAATCCTTAGACGAGAGCCGACCCTGAAGTGTCGATGGACAGCAGCATTGGGAAGCTGCCGGCCAGACAGGAGAGGAAATTGCTTAATTTAGCGCAAAAATTATCCACTGGCCAACGACGAGGCTCAATTGCAGGGCTGTCAGGGTCGTTTGAAGCAGATAAAGCAACCCTTTGCTATACAAATTCCGAGCAGACAATTTTGAAATGACACGAACGGTAGGAAATAAATTTAAATCACTTTATACTCGCACACTCATGATTTTCACAGAAAAAACACACTAAATCCAAAGATTTTGAAGAGACCTCCACATGCTGAGTCAAATGAGTGGTGATGCTGCGGGAGATGATAGCTCCACTGTAATTGCACAAGCGGAAAACAATTTCGGGAATGAAACTAGGGCTCCACCTATTGGCTGGAACATTAGGAATGGAGATGAGCAGATACCTGATAACAAAATACCCGGTTATCTGACCGAGATCCATCTGAGTCATAAACAGATCACCAAACGCTTTGCTGAGCTACTGAATTTGTTCGAGGATTACACCAAACTCCTGGACACTGAGCACCAGCATCATGTTGGTGTTCCATTTCGACTGAAGCGAGTTCAATCCGAGCAGTTAGCTTTGAAGGAAGGTAAGATATGCCCTATTATTTGCACCCCTTTTGTTGGGCGAAACAAAGGGCTTGAAAAGCTGGGAAGGCATTTTTAATTAATCTTTACATTTCACATTCAGTGAGCTGTATAGATTTTTCCCTACAGAATCCTTATATATTTTATTATTATAAAAAAATATTTTTATTTGCATTTTACCTTTGCTTTCATGTTCTCAAAGTTAAGCTTTTCATTCATGCTGCAAAAACAAAAACTTTCGGCACAAAAGAACACATTGAATTTTCACATATAAATTTTGTTTGAATTTTGTTAGTCCAATAAAACCAAAAAAACTTATAAAAATATATATATTTTTTTAAATCAAGTAACTATTTGTAAACATTGTTCTGAAATTAATTTAATTTAGAAAATACTAACTGATTTAAGAGTATATAATAGACCCTGAAAATGGAAAATTTTGATAATACCGAGGTTTAAAATAAAAACAATTAAATATCGAAAAAAATAGAAAAGCCCTTTTAAGTCGATCACAAAAAGCTTTAAATGATTTGCTCTTTGCAGAAGATGAAAATGCGGAGCACAGAGCATCGAGTCTCAGTCGGCTATCGGATATTACAATGAAGCCCTCCTGTGAGGTGAGCAGTCAGACTTCTTGGAGTGCCGTAGATCAGAAACAAGCCGAGGGTACGGATTTAGAGGCCAAATTAGCGGCCGTAAGCGGAAGTGTTGATCCGGAAAAGGAGAAACCGAGCAAGGTGTTGCAGCACACCATCCACATCGAGGTGGAATCGGTGACTTCGGCCACGGATATGCAAAGGCCGCCGCTGCGCCAAAGGATGTGGCATGTCCTCGTGCAGACGGGCGAAGCCATCGTGGCCTGCGCCTACATGATCGGCGAGAATATCACCTTTGCCCTGTTCATTGTCCTGTGCCTGTGGTGTCTTTACTTGTTGTTGAGCCACTTCTATGGCTTCTTGCATACGAATGTCAACCAGCAGATCGACTTGAAACGCAACTTGGCGCGCATTCCACAGCCCGCACAATTAAGATAAGCGGTTTATTTTCGCTCTTCGATTAAATAAATAAAAGCAGTGGCAAATTTAGCAGAACATCGCGTTTCCAATTCTAATTTATCTAAACATATTTAGGGTGCAATAAAACATGATGGCATCTCTACAATAGAATGAACGAATTTTCTATATAAAATAATATTGTAATATCAATGGTGCATCCAGGATCGTAAAAGAGATATCTGTAAAAATGTTGCATTCTTTTTGAATACCACATGTCCCTTATATTTGCTTTAAAAGTTTTACTTTAGAAAAATAAAATAAACAGTAACTTATTTTAGCAAAACAGAGGCCCCATCGCGTTGCCACTTTTAATTTATCTCAACATATTGGGGGTGCAACAACACATGATGGCGAGACTACAATATAGCGCCGATGCGAAGTCGGTCAACATATAGCAAAAGCGATCGGCCAATGGCGGCCGATTTAGGATGTTCGGTATTGGCACGGCAACGGCATCGATGAAGATCGTGTGGCGCGTCAATTCGCAGGGTGCAAGTGTTATGGGGGCAAGGTCCACAGGACACGATCTGAGGCGTCGGCGCGGCTGCTCCGTCTGCACTGCGATCGAATGGATACTCTTAAGCCCATCGCTTTCATTCTTCCTGAAGATCTCAATATCGTCCTCGGAATTTTCTGCGGGTTCATAGGCACTTATCAGAATTCTTTGATTTTAAAAAGAGGTAAGTGTAACCAAAGAAATCAGTGGTAAAAATAAATTGAAAAACGAAGTTTTTTAAGCTTTTATGTTATTTTCATCAGTTTTTTTTGGAATTCTTTTTAAAATCACTGGAAATCACGAAAAAATTAGGAAATTATCATATGTTTCCATAAATAGAAAATTATTTTTCATTTTCAAACCTACAGCTTTAAAAAACATTCATTTTCAGCCCTCCTCTTTGAAATAATGGATGTTCCTTCAAAGAAAACATAGTCTTACCTTCTGCCAATGCCTTGGACATCCAACCGTACCAATTCCTCTTGTTGGCCTCGACTGGACGCGATTTTGAAATGGTCTGAAGGGTGCTCGAACTGGGTGTTATGGCCACATCACTGCCGCCGTCCACGTCATCAAAGCATTCGTCGGCCTGAAAGCCCAAAATGTCGAAGAGCCGCTGGCAGGTGTTCTTCTGTTCGGAGAGCTTGAGCGGCTCGTTGACGGCATCCTGAACCAAATCGCCAATCAGCAAGTTAATGACGATCGCAGTCTGTGGTGGCTCCCTGCACGCCATGGAATTTATAGCGTCCACAGAAAAAATTTGGAGAATTTTCGAAAAATGTTTTACAAGCAACTGAAGCCAACATAATTTCGACACGAGTGTTGACAACTTTTACACCGAAAGTCAAGTCAGTTTTCAAATTTAGTAACAGGAAATTACAAAAAAAAATTCCCAGTTTTTTTTAAGCACCAAAAATTAATGGATAAACGTAGAGATAAGAATGATGAAAACGAAAGCCAGTCATTGTCGGAACCCCAAGAGTCTCAAGTGATAATAAATATGCCACCAGGCGATGAAAACGCCCATGTTGTGTATTTGCCAGATGCGAATTTGGGCGCCACTGAGACGGAGACTTCGGTAGAGGATCTGGAGAGCAAGCGCGTGTCCTTCGATCAAGATGATGAGCCCTGTACAAGTGGACAGACCGCAGAAAAAAGTCGGAAATCAAAGGAGGAGGTCAGCACTTTGTCTACTGAGAATCTTGAGAGCAACACAGAGAGTCCAACCCCCAGACAATTGCATAATGTCCTTCTCTACTGCTTCTCCCGCAATGTGGATACCCTGGAATCCAGTCCAGCGGTGATACTACAAATTCCGCAATACAGCGAACTGGGCACCCAAACGGCCGAGGTAATATCACAGCCCCGACGATTGCGTTTGAATCTGACCAACCTGCGAACAGATCGAAATGGAGCGCCCTGCGAAAGATCCCATCACACGATCACCATCAGGGGCAACAATCTGCCGCCCAATCCTCCCCAGCTGCGGCAAACGATCTGTGCGCGAATTGGTCGCTCAATCGGCGATTTTGTGGCAGCCTTCTGCCTTTGCCTGCAGGTCAACAAGGACTGTGTCTTCTGTCTGGGCTTCTTTGTGGCCTTTGTGATCAGTTGCAGTTTCCTCACCGCCTTCTTCTACCGCACCCTCAGCTTCAGCTCATCGCCGGTGCGAGTGGCCGCCCATCCAGTGAGTGGCACCTCGCACTATGAACTGGCCACACTAAAGTTCAATGGGGGCTTCTACTATATCTACAATAGCAACCAAAAGAAATTTCTGTAGTGTATGCGGTTTTGAGTTTTATTTAGGTGTGGGTTTATCGGACTTAATTTATTTTAAAGAACTATACGAAATAATTTTCTATATATAATAATATCAGTGGCGGATCCAGGAATTGACTGAATCGGAGTTTTCTGATAAATCTTTTTGTTGCATCTTTTTGATTACCACATTTCCTTTCACTTTTTGACAAGAATTGGAAGGATCTATCCACAAAATTTAAATAATATTTTGCTTTATTAAAGTGTACTTAAATAATAGTTAAATATTCATTTAAAAGATCAAAGATTTTCGCACTATTTTAAGCCCCATCGAAGAAGGTCAGATTACGAAACTTAAAAGATGCAAACCAACCGCATGACCAGGTTCAATCAATGGTTTTTCCAGCAGTTGTACTGGTTGTCATGGACTCGACTCCAAAGTTTGCAGTTCGCTCACCCCGCTGCCGCATTGGTACTGCTTTTTCTCGCAAACTTTTGTGAATTCAACTCTAGACAAAACGTCATACTACATAGCGGGTGGCAGAATGGGAAAACAGAAAAAAAGTGGTTGAGAGTAGGCCTTGTCCGGCTTGACTTGACTTGACAATGGGTCACACAAAAAGTCGGCCTTTGGGTACGGGAAATTGGCCACAAAACGTTCGTCGCCTGCTGTGCCAGGAGCAGGCGGTCGCCAACTTTTTGGCAAGATGCCCGGGCACAAAGGAATTATTGTTAATATAGGCAATGCCCGCCAGGCCAGGCCAAAACGAAAGCCAGCAGGCCAGAGAGAGGCGCGCACTGACCGGGGTACGTCTTTTCAATAAAATTTATTTATGAGAAATATGGCGAGTATTCTTGGGAAATTATAAACCCAAATAAAGAACGAACTTTACATGCACTTCTGGAAGAAATTTTGTTGTCGTACCAGAAAAAACTTCAACTTAAGAACTAAAAAAAAGAGCGTGAACTCTTTTTTTTTTATTTTAGGTTTTTATTAGATTATATTTTTATTCATTTATTTTAGTAACAATTTAAGTAATAAGCTTTAAGGCATAACATCCACAGTTTCTGTAAGATACTTTTTATAAATTTATGAAAGCAATGGCTTTAAAAATGTAGAGGAAACAAAAAAGTTTAATTGAGTTAAATTACTTTAAAATAATATTTTACTAAATTTACATTACTTTTGCCTAATCTAAATTACAAATCCAAAATTTGCTTAAGTGGTGTCGTTACTACTCAAAAATCGATTTTTTCGCTCATCCAAAAACATTGATTAAATCGATTTTTCAATCGAATAGTTTAAAGCTCTAATCCTTATTTTAATTTTCTTTATATTAAGCTATAGCTTATAACGATTATAATCGTTCAGTAAACTAAACCCAGTTTAGAATTACTCTGCCTTTTCCGAAAGACATACGCTAAATTTTATTGACTTATCGGGGGAGGAAAGAGGAGGCTGCTGTCCAGAACGGATGCGCTGTTAAGATAGCAAATTCAGCTAAATTGAATTTTACATAATACATGTTTGTTGTAGTCCCAGCACATATAAATATCGGCCCATTTTTCTGGCACTGTATACTCAACGAAGTTTGGTCGGGGGACAATTAAAGTTTGGGGGGTAGAAAAAAAAGAAGGCTGGAATTGCCAAACAATTTTTGGACAATATTTTAAACTTGGTGTTTGAGGGTGTGGGTGGGTGGTTGGGTGGGCACATCCCGCTGCTAAGGGAGGCTGATGATGTTTGGGGTCGGGAATGAATGTTTGACTTCAATGGGCGAACAGAGCGACACGGGCTTCCGCTGGCAGGAAATTGAATTGCACGAACACGCGAAATTACATCATTTTGGAACCACGGTAAACAATTTCCCGTTTGCACCTAACCGATTTTTTTTTATTATTTTATTTCTCTCATTTCATTTTTGCTGCATATTTTCAACCAATTTTTGACAGGCAAATTTTTCGTTGCCTAGGTTCTCTAGGACCCACTCCCTTTAGCTACCAATCCTTGTTAACGGCAATTTGTGCGAAAATATCAATTTCACTTTTTTTTTCGCCTCGTCCGTTCGTTGTGACTATTTTGTGTGGGATTTGGGTAAGGGCAGAACCACCGTGTGCAAAAAAAGGATCATTATGATAACAACAAAGGCAGCCAAAATGTCTGCAGAGCCAAAGAGACTGACAGCCAGCATATAGAGATCCGGATACATAGATACATCGATACACAAGCCAGGTACCTCGACCATAAAATACCCGTTACTAAGCTTGCATTCCATTATTGCTCATAACTTTTTAATGAATAATCCCATCTTAAAATTTTCTACTACATTTTCATAGGTATTAATAAACGCAAGAAAATGGGATTTATACTTTTACAAAATCTGTTAAGAATTGGGCGCCTTCCCTTTTTTTGTTACATAATTTCCGACGAATACAATATACCTTTTTACCCTACGAGTAATGGATATAAAAAGAACCGAGAATCCATGAATCCATGCCACTCCCACTGGGGCATACGGGCCCTTCGCGTTTTCAAACATGGCAGCAGTGTCAAGTTTGAAAGGATTATTGCCACTTGCCGCTTGCGGCGAACGTTCTTAAAATGTAACACGTTTCAAACAAGTTTAGATACGTGTATGTTTTGTCTGTTAGTTGAGTCTGGGCCTTCTGACTCTCGCTGGTATCGCAGTCGGTATCTCTTCGGGCCAACAGAGTCTATGTAAAAAGTCATCAACGGGGGCCAGTTTGCCCAGGCCTAGGAAACAAACAGCCAGCACAGAGAGCAAAAACAAAATACAAACGGCGGCGACTGGTTTGACGAGCTTTTTTCAATGGGCTCGCGACCAAAACCAAACCAAAAAAAAAGTTAAAGGAGCATTAAAAAAGACAGCCCTCGGTTTGAACTCTCCTCTGGTCAGGCCAGATCCCCAGCTTCGTCCCGGGTTCAAATCCGATTCCAATTCCGACTCCAAGCGGTTATAAAAATTCGCGCTAGTGTTTTTTTTTTTTGGTTTTTTTTCTTTTTATTTGCCAAGCAAAAGCGAAAGAGAAATGTTAGACTTTGAGATGCTCTAAGCACGCAAGCTCAAAAAATCAACTCACGAAAGACAAAAACGGATGGATAGTAGTCGCCAAATATCAAAGAAATTCAAGCAAAAATTCGCTGGCAGGCGAGGGGGGACAATTGTGTAAGATTGATGGGAATGCTGAGGTCATTCATCATGCGATTCTCGTCTTGATTGGACATTTCACAAGGCTTGATAGACGAAGGTTTCAAAATACATTTGCCCGCACACATATATTTATTGAAGATTATCTTAAAAAGGAGCCAGAAGGGCAAGGAACGGCTCGTAATCGGATTGATGGCGAACAAATAACACATTTTTATTCAAGCTTCTTTCGTGCAAAAAAGTCTTTGAAAGATTAAATCTTATAAAAATTGCATTAAAAACGCACTTTGTTATTAACACCTTATTTATCTTATAACCTTTATTATTAACAATCTTTACTAGAAGTTTATTAAAAGTCAATAATTGTGATATGTAATCTTATCTAGGTCTCCAACTATACAGAAATTAGCCAACCCCTATTTAATTAAAAAGAAATTCAAATAATTTCCCTAGACATTACCTATCTGATGTATTTAATGACCTTGCAGAAATGTTTTTTACGACAAAAACGCAGAATGCTTTTATTTTCGATGACGTATGTGTTCCGACATAATTGGATAAAAATTCATTTCCTAGAAAACTAGTTAGTTTTCATTTTAAGAAATTTTTCATAATTACATTTATTTGATACTTCATTTTGTGTAACGACATAAAAATCCTTAAATAAATATTTAATCTGTGGTTTAATTATACTAATCGATTTGTGATAAAAATTTGTGGATTAGAAATATCCCGGATTGATTAAAATCTTAAAAATTAAGTTGAGCCCTTTTAGGTACTTAAATATTCATAAGGGTTTCCGGGGACACACTTATTTATAACTGGAAAGCACATCCTGCACACAACAGATTTTGAAAATGTTTAAACCCATCGGTACTTTCGATAACTAAGCTAAACTCTTCGAACCCAGAGAGGTCAAAGCTACATAATACTATTAATATTGCAAGCTTTTTGCACTCTGCTCCTGAAATTCGAGGGACTCTCGGTTCACCCAATTTTACGACTGCAGAGTATTTAAAATGTAAAACTTTAAGTGCGACTCACCTTTAAGAGGGGCTGGCATTGGTACTTGTATTGGTGTGCGAGTGTCTGGCTGCCAGCGGCTGCATTGGTGTGCGTGTGTATCTGTGAGTGCTGCTGCTGCTGCATCTAAAATCTAGATGATGAGGATGGAAACGATGCTGCACATCCTGGCGGCCATCTTTTCGACTCGCTGAGCTAACTTTTTAAGCCGCCTCACATGTTGTTTTCTCCGGCTTTGTTGTAGTTCCTCGATTAACACTTCGGCTGCATGGTTTTTTGGTTATATATGGATAAATTCGTTTAGACGTGTTTTTTCAAACGGTTTTACGACCGAATTGATATTGTTAAAGTGATTTACTGCTGGCCGGGCGCACAAATCAAGTTTTTTGGCTTTATGATTCGTCGAAAACGAAATAAATAAATAAATAAAAATCAAGCCAAAATTAATCGACGGAAGCCCCCAGAAAAAAACAAAAAAAAAAGCAGAGCTTTTGAAAGTGGCCCACGCAGGCGGCAAATAGCAATAGTTGAGAAATGAGATAAATAATGGCAAAAAATCCAAATTAAAGTGTAATAAAAAAAGAGGTCTAACCACTTTTTTCCGAAACAGTCGAACAGCTGAAAAAACACAAAACTGTCGACGAACCTTTTGGCCATTTCCAGCCGGTTTGCAGGCAGAACAAATAAAACTGAAAAACTAACGAAAAGTTTGCAAAAAAAAAAAACAGGAAAGAAAAATGATGAAAATCCGAACCAGTTGCAAAGCGCCAGCAGCTGATGATCCCCCGGAAAAACAGGACAACTGAAAGGAAACTTTTTCCGAAACACAACCTGAGCAAAGGACCTGCAGCCGGGCACTGAAAACTGAATTCCAGGAGCGTACCGCCGCCTGCCACGGACGTCAACTTATGTAAAGCCGACTGCCAACTGCGAAACTTCGAGCCGCGCACGAGGCCCAGGCCCACATCGCTTTTCCCCGCCCCCCTTTCTGCCCCCTCGATTTTCCCCCCGATTTTCCGGCATTACTGCCGAAGTAAGTGCGTGCGAGCGAGACGCCAGCAATGCAATTTTGCGGGCCAAAGTCAGGCAGTTAACCAGCAGGCTGGTCCGCTTCCCCCTCTCCATCTCCATCTCCTTCTGCCTGCTTCCTGCTGCCTGTAGCTGCCCCTCCGAAGTGTGTGTGTGCGTGTGTGGCGCATGCGCACAAATCGCACAGCTGACGGCGGTAAAGGAGGGGAGCGGATTTGAATACTATCGGGATCCAAAAAAATTATCTAAGAATCTTCAATCTTTCATGTTTTAATACCATTCCTACTCAATCAAATTACATAACAAACAAATTTTAAAACATATTTATAAAAAAAAATGATAAAAACATAAAACGATTTAAATCTTCAATGGAATTTTACATTTTAGTCATATTACCATTCAGAAAAATTACCCAAAAAAACCTAAGTTGAAGTTTTTTCAAATAAATCCATATTTTTATATAAAGAAACAGATAAGTTATTTATATATTGATACTTGGTGTTATTGATAATATATGTAATCTTTTACGTTTTCTTAGAAATTCTAGAGTGAAGAGTTAAACTGGAGTCTGTTCTATTTAACTTTGATAGCGTATTTTACTTTATAATGTCATAATAATAATATCAGACAATTATCTTAAGTCTGGTTACTACTAGCAGTAGTAATTCTAAGGGCCGTTTTCTCGTCCGCCTGTTAAATTTAAAGTAGGGATAAAACTCAGATTTTCTATACGATTTTAAGGTTTAAACCTTACTTTAAATTTAAAAAACGGACAAGAAAACGGCCCTAAGTTTAAAAAAACGTAGTTGAGTTTTGGTTGCAAGTGATGTCTTTATCATACCTGAATTTTAAGCTTAAGGATGAGCAAAGTTTCTACTTAGGGCCGGTTTCTCGAGTCCCTGTCAAAGTCCCTGATAGCTATCTGTTCGAAAAACTTAAATACCAGATAAACTGTTCGTAAAAGCAAATCCGCTTTCTCGACTGCTTTAATTTATCTGAACGAGAAACAATTACAGAGTGCTGTTAACGCACAGAATTGTGCTGTGAAGGGCAAAAAATGGCGTGCTTCGATTATTTCATCAGCTGTTTGGGTATATTTCAAGGGAAAAGTCAGCTGTGATTTCGTTTCTTCTTCTTAGTTGGCTTTGGGAAATCAGCTGTCATTCTATCGAGTCGAAAACGCTTAACAGGGGCTCCGAGTCCCTGTCAAAGTTAGCTCTTACATTGTTGCTCGAGAAAGCCAAAATGCCTTAGCAGGGACTTTATCTGTTCGAGAAATGTTAGCCGGCACTCGAGAAACCGGCCCTTAAACAAATTAAACAATTCAACCTTATGTCAATTAGATGAAAAGGGTAGCAAATCTTCGGCCTGAAAAATTACTTTCATCTTACATAACCAGTTGCCCTATTCGCTTTTGAGCGCCCAACCGTGAACCGTCCCTGGAATCGGAGGTTAACCGCTGTTGCTAGGCGCCCGGCGCAGTCCCTCCTCTGCCGACGTCGGCAGAGCTTTGTCGACTGCAGAGCCAGCTGATTTCTGTGTGGCAGAGGAATGGAACGGGGATTTTCCCGAAAAGTAACGGCTCTTTCGGGGAAAACAGTTTTTCGTATTGATTTCGGGCGCTGCATGCGAGATTCCCATAAACAATATATGCATTCGAAAATAGCCAATGAAAGGAGTTGCGAAGAGGGAAAAGGAGAGGGGAAGCAGAAGAAAAGAAGCTGAAAACAAGTTCTGGGCTTACAGTGGGGCAAGTTTAGAAGTGACCACTGTGCGGCAGCCGTTGAGATTCTAAATTCGCATTTGCAGTAAATGTTTTCGCTCTTCTCTCTCTTTTGGACTCGCAGTAAACCTGTTTTTTTGTTGAGAATGTTTTTTATAGCTTTTGCCACTTGCCACCAGATCAGGCAAAAAAAAAAAAACAAGAAAAACAAAAAGTATTTCACAACTTTTGTTTGCTCGCGTTGTTGTTGCTGCTTCGCTTCTGTTTATCATTCACTGTTGTTGCCACCGTTTGGCGTTTACCTTTTGCACAATCTTCGTTTACATGAAAGCGGCGGCGACACGCGACCAAAGCCACACACACACTCGCACTAACACCTATGCACACCCACACACGGACGGGGACGCGGACAGACACACGGATACGCAAATGCGGAGGTAACGGTAACGGAGAGAGAGCGCGAGCACGTCCAAGCACGTCCACCCGCAACAACAAACGAAACGAAAGAGCATCGGGCGCAGTGTTGCCAGGTGGCACGAGTCAAGGCCCCCCTTTCGGGTTTTTATCACTAAAAAATCCCATTGGCCCCAACGAAGTTGACAGAGTGCGCGCGCAGTTCAAACAGGAAGTTACTTTTAAGAAAAGAAGTCTTTTTCCTTAAAATATCTGCAACTAATCGAAAAAATTACAAATAATATTAGGATTTATTCTTATTCAAACATAAAGAAGTTAAATGCATGCTTGGAAATACCTATTCTTTAATTCCATTCAATATTTCCATTCACCGCGGAAAAGTGTAAGCCCATTGTTTTAATTGTACAAAAAAATCTATTTAATCTGCATTTTCTTTCTGTTTAATTTATTCTATTTAAAAAGAAAAGCTTTTGTAATTGAAATAGGCGCCAAAAATTAGTACTGGCAACGCTGTCAAAAATGCGTAGGCTGCCACCTGGCAAACATAAATTATCGATAAATTAGACCAGGGATGCCGCATATTCCATTTCGTTGGCGCCTGATTTAATTTTTTTCTTGATAAGAAAAACGGTTTCTGCCAGAATAACATAGAAAAAACTATAAATAAAGCTTATAAAAAATTATGAAAACTCAATTTAAGAACTGAAAACTGTCTGTAAAATCGTGGTTCACGGCGACCTTGAAATTCATTGGCTTATACCCTCTGCACACAGCCACTGTTGCAATTTTTAATAAATACACGAAATATAATTTCATGAAACACAAATATTGTTATTATTATCAGCAGCAAACACTTAATCTTTCCAATGATTTGGTATGAGATTTTAAAACTTAATTTAAATGAAATGCACTAATGCTTTTACATCCGATAGTTGCAATCGATAGTCGGCACTAAGAGTGTGACCAAGTAAAAGCAGGCAATAGTAAGACCGTGGCTCCGCCAACAAAAAACACCGCAATAATAAAGAACTAAACTGGCCCTACTAAATACATTCAAATGCATAGTCGAAAAAAACCATCAAGCGAGCCGGACGCGTATCTCTTTGTAACGGATCTCGGAACGCCGTGGGAGTCGGAAAGTCGGAAAATCGCTAGACGCGTGTTCGCTGCGTTGGTGTGCGTGCGATTGCATGTGTGCGTGTGTGTGTGGGTGCGAGCGGGTGAGCGAATAAATAAATAAATAAATCGCCAAGTCGGGCCTGGAAAATGAGTGCGCTAATCAAATAATATGCCCCCGTTTCTGGCCAATTGAGAATTGTGGCTAAACAGCAAATTCGACGGGAGTTCAAGTGAGTGCCAATTGCGGAGACAAAATGGCTGCATTTCAACGCATTTAATTTACGGGCAACGCAACACAAAGCGGACGAAAGAGAGCGCGAGAGAGCAGGACAGAGAGGCAATCGGTGAAGAAAACACAAAGAGAGGTAGAGCAGAAAGGAAGAAGACGAAGAGGCACGAAAAAAGTAAACATTAAAAAAACAGTGTTAAATTAGCTTAACAAAATAGTGTAATCTTCAAGTGTTAAATATTAAGAGATTAAAAAAAGTTTGTTTTGTTTATTTATTTTAACTATTTTGTAAACATATCGATTTTATTTCTATTGTGGCAACAACAACAATCCGAAAAGCAACAATAATTAATTTAATGCATTTCGCTGCGTTTGCGCCGCAGCTGTCCGTCTCTCTCTCCCTTTATATCGCTCTCTGTTTGCATGAGCACTCTCTCGCTCTTTTTTCTTTGCGCTTGCCCGTTGCGTATAAGCGGGTGCGAGCAGGAGGCCAATACTCGTTCTTGTTGTGATTTTCTGTTTGTTTGTATTGTTTTTGTTTTATGTCTTTTGCTTTCATTTTTGTTTTGGTTTTTCGCAAGTCAACTAATTTACCAAATGTATTTGAAAAACACTAATGATTCATAAATAATTCTTCAGAATAAACCGTAAACATTAAATAAACACGTGAACAATTATGCCAACAATGCAATATAACCAACATTTTTTTTAATTTTGAAAAAGTGCCAGTGTATAATATTTATTTTTTGTATCTTCAGAAAAACTCAACCCAGTGAAAAAACAAAAAAAAATCATTGAAAAAGTTCGTTTTTATTTTCGCTTTTAATTTGTTAACGAAAAAATATTGGATAAAATAAAAAATAAAGAAAAAAGTGTACGTGACAAGAGCCCAAAAAAATTGCAACACAAAATAGCGAAAATAATTCGTGCGTGCGAAAAAGAGCTGCGAAGTTTTATGGCCCATGCAAAAAGTGCTAAATTTGTAAATGGCATGGAAAGTGCAAAGCTCTGATTAAAAAGCCGCGAAGAGTGGAGAGCTCGAGGTGCCCAGAAACGCAACCAACTACTGCCAAAAGGAAATTATTATTAAAAAATAAATAAACCCAAACAACGACCTCCGAACAACCAAGCAAACAGAAATTTTGTGCTAATTCTGTTTAATCGAACACCATCCACGTTGGATCCCCATCGCATATAATGTCATCAAAATGTGCTTTCAACATTGTATTCGTATCGATAATTTTCATCATCATCGTAAATGGTGAGTTTTGAAACTAACAACTAATAAATTCTTTTATTACTATGGAATGTAGCAATTAACAAGCGAATTAATTTTTATCAATAAAATATAAGTGAAAATAACAAAAATATTTTAATTTGAGCCTAAAAAAATAATATTTCTGGTTACTAAACAAAGTAGAAAAATGGTTACTAAAATAAAATAAAAAATTCAATATAAACAATTTTAATATCAGTAGGGGAGTGTAGGGTAATTTGACGAGTAGGGTAATGTGACGAACTCGTCGAATCTCATATATGACGTCACGACAAAAATTCCAAATAAATGTAGTCGTCTCCCCTTATCGTGTCGACAATGTATTTACAGTAATATTAATAAGAAGTCCCGTAATTTGTTCGCGAGGTAATTTTCGCTAAAAATGTGGTGCGCAAACTAGCAAACCCATTCAATTTACTTGTGTTTCAACAGTGCCAGAGCAAAGATGAGTGGAAAATAAAATCAGGCAAATATATGCACGTATACATGAGATCTTTATCAACAGTTTTTGGTACCTCGCGTTTTTTTCTTTTGCGCCCTTTGAGAGTGACACCGTTTTTGCTCCAAGTCTACCTTGTAGGGTATCGTGACGAACTTTTTGTAGGGTATTGTGACGAACTTTTTTTATTCAAGAATTTTAACTGTTATCGTTGATTATTTGTAAAAAAAATATAATAATACCAGATAACATTTACTGCTGCAGTTTTATTGTTGTTTTTAATAGTGACGTCAGTTTAATTTAATTTTAAAAAAAATTTGCACTTTGACCATTTTTTTTTTGTAAGTTTGGGTATTATCTTATTACTTTTTTCTTTTCCGTATCGAAAATAACCTTTCCGTAAATAATATATAAAAAAATGTATTTTTTTGTTTGTAAAAAGGATGGTTTACACCAAACGCTGTGGGATTTGGCTACGTTGAAATTTCGAATCCAAATTTTTTTAGAAATATGCTCAGTAAATGTAAGCAACTTTCTGCTTTTACACTTTTAAAAAATATTGATTTTTGGAGAAGTTACATTAAAGAACAAATCGTTCGTCACATTACCCTACAACTTTTGAAAGTGCAAAAAAAGTAGGGTTCACGCCAAACGCTGTGGGATTTAGCTGCATTGGAATTTCGAATTTCGAATTTTACAGGGATATGCTCAGTAGATGTAAGCAACTTTCTGCGTTTACACTTTTGAAAAATATTGATTTTTACAAAAGTTACATTCAAAAAACGAATCGTTCGTCACCTTACCCTACACTCCCCTATAAAAAACCATTAAATTATATTAATAAAAATCATAAAAAGTATAAGGAAACTATAAAAAATCCTTCTGGCTACTGAACAAAGTAGCAAAATGGTTACTCAGCTAAAAGAAAAATTATTCAATTTAAATAATAACAAAAATTATTAAACATCATTAAAAGTGTAACAAACCTATTAAAAAATACTTCTGGCTATTAAGAAAGTAGAAAAATTGTTACTGCTTACTCTAAGCTAGCATTGAATTAAATTCCCTTTAATTATTCCAACAAATAAGCATTAGTCTTTTATTGTGCACTTGAAACACAAAAAACAAAAGAAACCACAACAATCAGAGCTTAAAATGAAATACAAGCGAGGGAGCTGCAAATGACCCATAGACAATAACATTGAAATAAATGCTCAATCAGGCGGAAACAAAGTTAACATTTTCTTCACCCAAGAACCCTTCGAGCAACAAAAATAATTACGCACTTTGCCAGGATAATTGACGAGCGAAGGATTGCAGGGGAGGGTATTATTTTAAGGGTGGAGCAACGGAGAAGGTACTCTTATAATTTTAGTAGACAATTTGGGTAATTGTCTCTTGGCTTGGCTTTTTCGCCCCCAGTATTCTCCTTTGGGTGTATTTTGTTATTAAACAAATGGGGTTTGCTCATGATAATTATTTAATCTCGCTTTTGTCACTTCAAATGAATCGTCAGAATATTTTTCTAATGAGTGTTTCCAGAGTGTTTGTTTTCGTTATTTCAATGAGTCTCTTTTTGCCTTTTACTTTTATTCCCGGCTGCAGGTGCCAAGGTTTCCAATTTACTTCTATAATTTTGTATGTGTATACTTGAAAAAAAAACTTTTCACATGTATGTATTCAGATTCAGATTCTACTTACTTATTTCAACAAAGCAAATCCATTGTTGAAGCAGAAAGAGCGAAAAGGTAGAACGCATAGGGTGAGTCATGAGTAAACCTGAGTAAACCTCTGGGGGACTCATCCATTTTTATTGTGAAATAGTCAGCTAAAGCGATAAACAAAGGGGATTTAAAATTTGTATCCAAACCTTAGTAGGGGAGTGTAGGGTAAGGTGACGAACGATTCGTTTTTTGAATGTAACTTTTGTAAAAATCAATATTTTTCAAAAGTGTAAACGCAGAAAGTTGCTTACATCTACTGAGCATATCCCTGTAAAATTCGAAATTCGAAATTCCAATGCAGCTAAATCCCACAGCGTTTGGCGTGAACCCTACTTTTTTTGCACTTTCAAAAGTTGTAGGGTAATGTGACGAACGACTTGTTCTTTAATGTAACTTCTCCAAAAATCAATATTTTTTAAAAGTGTAAAAGCAGGAAGTTGCTTACATTTACTGAGCATATTTCTAAAAAAATTTGGATTCGAAATTTCAACGTAGCCAAATCCCACAGCGTTTGGTGTAAACCATCCTTTTTACAAACAAAAAAATACATTTTTTTATATATTATTTACGGAAAGGTTATTTTCGATACGGAAAAGAAAAAAGTAATAAGATAATACCCAAACTTACAAAAAAAAAATGGTCAAAGTGCAAATTTTTTTTAAAATTAAATTAAACTGACGTCACTTTTAAAAACAACAATAAAACTGCAGCAGTAAATGTTATCTGGTATTATTATATTTTTTTTTACAAATAATCAATGATAACAGTTAAAATTCTTGAATAAAAAAAGTTCGTCACAATACCCCACAAAAAGTTCGTCACGATACCCTACAAGGTAGACTTGGAGCAAAAACGGTGTCACTCTCAAACGGCGCAAAAGAAAAAAACGCGATGTACCAAAAACTGTTGATAAAGATCTCATGTATACGTGCATATATTTGCCTGATTTTATTTTCCACTCATCTTTGCTCTGGCACTGCTGAAACACAAGTAAATTGAATGGGTTTGCTAGTTTGCGCACCACATTTTTAGCGAAAATGACCTCACGAACAAATTACGGGAGTTCTTATTAATATTACTGTAAATACATTGTCGACACGATAAGGGGAGACGACTACATTTATTTGGAATTTTTGTCGTGACGTCATATATGAGATTCGACGAGTTCGTCACATTACCCTACTCGTCAAATTACCCTACACTCCCCTACTTAAAATTTCCATTTATAAAAATATTGATAAGAACATCTCGTTGTGTTAGGAGTTCATTTTTTTTTAAGATTGACTTATTCAGAGTTATGGCATTTCCGTCCTTTGCCCAATTTTTGGAATGTATATTTAAAAAAATGTAATAAAAGTACACATTTAAAGTCCGTACTTTTTTTATCGCCACTTCAACTAATTTGTTTGCTTGGCAAGATTTTCCTTAGTTCAACATTACGAAATTTGAGGCTGGGCAGGGCTCACAACCACAGGCAAACCAACAACAACAACAACAACATCCACTCATGGCTAATTAGCCAAAGTCAAGCAACATGAACATGGGCAAAACACAGAGAATTGGAGGGCCAAGAATCAGACGGAGAAGATGGCAGAGTGGCAGAAACGAAAACTGGTTTATCCACTTGGCCGGCTAATCTGACAACAAAGAAGGCGAGTAGGAGACTCAAGAACGGAGAATTGAGAACCGAGAATCAAGCTGAATAGAAAAGGCAAAAGAAGAAAAAGAAACGAAAAATTGCTCTCAGTCTCAGCGAAAAAAGGTCAATGTCTCGGTGCTATCTGTCTGGGCAGAAAACATATAAAGATTCAAAATAAGAAATTATAAAAATAAATATGCAACAGCTATCGCAGAAAAGTTTCTCTCCCACTTGCTAAACTCGCAGCGGAAGCGAGGAAAAAACAATATACTTATAAGAAAAAGAGCTCTAGAAAGCAACAGTTTTTAGATACAGAAACAAGATACAGCTGGGAACTAAGATAAAGATACTTTATCTGTATCTCAGTTTCAGCTTAAGATTGTGGCTACTTCTTTACGTAACTTTATCTCTTTGGTTTGGTTTCGTTTTTTTTTATCTCATTCTGTCTCAAGCTTTATGAGAAAATAATAAAAAAGTCAAGTTAAGATTCAATATTCTGCTCACAAGTGAAATGAATTTCACAGAGTCACATCTGGCTTTTTCTGGTTTTTATTATTATTATTGATAAGCTGTTGACTAAAAGTTCGTTCAAATATAATTTCAGCCCAGCAAAAAGATGTCATAAATCACATATGAGTTGTGTTTAGAGGGGCTGTGGAGGGAAATGAGTATGATAGGGGGCCCAGAACAATGGACACTTTGGCCGGGCATTTATGCAATTTTCCTTTGCTTTATTTCCCGTACGTGCCAAGTGCAACATAGTAAACAAACAAATAATGAAGCCACCATCCAAAACTAGAGATGACAACGTGACCGCGTATGAAGAGATTCGTGCTGTTTCATAATGTACGGGAAACGGCAAAAATGACCTAAAAACGTTCGGGTTTATTTGCAAAAAAACCAAACAGATGATAGACGGTTTTATCCTACATTTGCTGTCCTATCTGCCAGATACATTTGTATCTCTCACTGCAAAGTGTGTGCTACTATCAGAAGTCGCCAGGCATGCGAGTGACATTTATTGTTTGCCGAGTGGCAACCAAATAAATGAAATATAATAAAAAAATACATACATGTATTTATATGCGAGCGTACATCATGCGGTGAATAAATCCCTTAAGCTTGTTGAACGACTGAAGCGCATGGCACTTCAAATTGATGAGTAGCTTTAATGAAAGGGCGT